CCCCCCACACACCTTTAGCGCCGGCCCCGATTCTGACAAGATTGACGTGTATCGGCTCGTTGAAAATGGTATTCGGGAAAGCTGTGGATTGATAGGGATTCAACTACATGAAAAATACAAGCAAAACTTCGCCAGCGAAGGCCCTCCAGGAAGTTGATGAAAGGGATTATGAGGTAACGTTCAGACAAAGCGTCTTCGCTCGAAACAGCGACCGGTTTTGTTTGTCCCTCTCAATCCAGTGTTATCATGAATGACAATAATCTAGTGTTATTGTCACTACCGTACGCTGGAATAGACTGTTCAAATGGTATTGCCCTTTCAGTGGTCAGGTTTTGCTGGTCAACGCACAAATGTCAAATGTCTCTATTTTTCAGTAAAGATAACCTTGATACGAGAAGAATCAAAAGATAGCGTATCAGACATTACGACTTTCTTGACTGGTCAGCAATTTAGATAATGGCTATTTATTAACTGATAATTAGACTTTGGAAGCCCGCACTATGTGCTAATTAACGCAAATTTTCTGTTTAGCTCATCAATTTTAAAGATAGCCCTACTGAGGCTGACGGTATATAAAGCTTCCCCTCAAATCTACATCACTACCGAAGGGACATTGCCATTTCGGCTAACAGCAGCAGATCTCAAGTTTACAGATTTGCAATCCGTCCCTATCAATATCTTCTTGGTTAGATTCTCAATTATTCATCGTGGTATTTGGGGAGAGTTTGGCATCCAGAATTCATTTTTCACGTTTAAATTAGTCTATAACCAAAATTTCATGTTGTTTGGACAGTTAGGTCGCGAGTTATAAAACTTCGAAAATCTCGTTTTCCGTATACATTTGACTGAAAACATTTTCTCTGCAAATTCCAGTCAAATGTATAAAAGAAAACTAAAGCCCGGTCAAACGAGGATGAGAGTTGCAACTATCGCTCGCGTTTGACCGTTCTCATCGACTCTCAATATAAGGCCTGTTTTACACGTCGAATAGACATTTCCCCTTTTTAAGTGAAATTTTGATCTAGACTAGCCTGGACAAAAATTTCATCACAGCTTGAAAGAGCATCACAAAATTAGTAATATTCCGAAGTTTCGTTGCGAAATGTTGTAAAATGCGGATAATATAGCCTTGCGAAGTTTGCCGTTTTTCAGTCATTTGGTATTACAAACGGGAAATTGATAATCAGTTTGATCATCTGATTTGTGAAAATGAAAATTTCAATCCTGCGGCCATTAAAAATTGATGAGGTGAAGTTGGATCCGAGAATTCATCTTGTCAATGCGAATGGCGTCATCTCACATAATCCACTGCACATAATAAGACTTTAACACCCACTCAGACATCAACTTACGTGCGTAATTCGTCTATCAGAAAAAAATTAAGAACTGGTCAAACGAAAACGAGAGTTGATCAGACTTGAGAAGCGAGAGTTTGCACTGGAGTTTTCTCAACCCTCATGCATGCCCCGATCAAACGAGAAGAGTTGCATGAGAGTTGAGAAGCGAGAGTTTGCATGAGAGTTTTCTCAACTCTCATATCCCGGTCAAACGAGAACAAGAGTTGCATGAGAATTGATGAGAGTTGAGAAGCGAGAGTTTGCACAAGAGTTTTCTCAACTATCATGCCCCGGTCAAACGAGAACAAGAGTTGCATGAGAGTTGATTGGATATTACTCTCATGCATCAAAATTTGAACAAGTTCAAAGTTGATCAGAGTGCATGAGATTCCATGAGAATTGGCGGTCAAAAGCGAGTTGACCAAGGCTTCAGGCATGTATGGCGTGTTCCCAGAAGCATTTCCAATATACCTAGATTGTCTGGCACTAAGACGAGAGGATCCACCATTCTGCTCTAACATACCGAATAGAAGATATCAGGATTCTGCGCAACTACATTCGACATAACTAATTGTGGAAGAGTTTTGTAGATGGAAATTCCGAGTGTGAATTTCATATACATTTATTACACCTAACCAGGAACAGTTGCCAAAAATGCAATATCTAGGCCCACTCAACTCTACAGACACTCGAAATTCTCATCTCCATCTATACAAATCCTTGTATGAATAGAAGATAAGCGACATTTAAAGCTGCATTCCAGTCAAGCGTTTTTCATACTTTGGTTTAGTGGTGGATGTACGAGCAACAAAAACAACTTGACAAGGAAGTGTCAGGGTCTTAGCTAGGATTTTAGATCTTGGGCGTGTTTCTAATGACCAAGGTATGCACATGTCAATTACCTTGAATAGCAAAATCACGGTTCTAGTTATGCTCACCAACAATGCCTGTGGTTGTTCTATGCTTTGCAACCAAATACAAGGCGAGCATATACTCGTATTGCGCACTGATCATGACATTAAAATATTAAGTTATTTCAGCAACACTTGGGAGTATTTAAAACCATTTTAACACCATATACAGGTCCCATTATCCATCAAAACATCACGGATCACTTTTGCCAATTCAACAACAACAGTAGATTTTACAAACTTTCTGACGACGTAAATAGGAAGAAATTCTGTCTGTTGTCAGTAGTACCATCTTATTTTATGAACCTACACTGTACACAGCCTTATATAAATGAAGCCGCGTTCATTTTATCTAGCCGTGTTTTTTCACTTTTGGCCGCGATAACACGGCCCTCTAGCTAAGACCCTGGGAAGTGTTAATCCTCAATTAACTCATCACAAAACACAAACACTTAAGTATTCGGGTATTAATGTCAGTTTCAACGACTAAGTCGAAAAGAGCCATTTGCACTATCAAAGTTTCTGTGATCACAGACACAGTAAGAATTTTGCATATACGTAGGTAAATTCCAGGCCTGGGTAAATTCTTAGTTTTGAAGGATTTGTAAGAAATGTTCAATTCCCAATAGCCATTCCGAAGTTGATGAATGGACTGGGGACGAGTGTTAAAAAGTGCCCAAATTAAGAAATGAACCAAATCATTAAAAAGACCACCCCAAAATGAGGTTTCCAGTTATTTGGCTGCAATAATTAAAATAGAAGGAATAAACATCTTGGTTTATAAAATTTTTCAACATCAGTATTCATCTTTATCATCATATCTTACAATGAAAATTTCGTTTCGTAGAAATTCTACCGAGAAGCAACGGCATAACAAGGGAATAAACCCACAGATTATCTCAATGTTTTTAGTCTCTTATATTCTTGTCCAGTACATGCCAGATCGTAGACGATTGTAGTCGGGCAGTTGTTCCACAGGACCTGAAAATGAAGTATAATGACGTTATAGGGGCCGTTATAGTTGAATTGTGCGTTCACGGTACAATTGTACCAAATGTCCATAGCAAAAAGAGTGTATAAGTGCCTGACAGATTTAATCCTAAAATTACAATAGTGTACTTTACTATATATGAGATACGCAGATTAATACGCATAAATAAATTGAACAAATGTGCGATCATAAATTATAATGTACTCTGAATTGGCACTTTTATTATCATCAGCATAATAACCACCATCATCGTCATATTGCTACCATCATATTACCATCAGTATTACCATCATCACCATCACCATATTACCTTCAAGTATTACCATCAGTATTACCACCATACCAACATATTTCCACCATCATATTACCATCAGTATTACCATCATCATCATCACCATATTACCACCAAGTATTACCATCATCACCATATTACCACCATCATATTACTATCAGTCACCATATTACCATGCACCATCATATTATCATCAGTATTACCATCATCACCATCACCATATTACCTTCAAGTATTACCATCAGTATTACCACCATACCAACATATTTCCACCATCATATTACCATCAGTATTACCATCATCATCATCACCATATTACCACCAAGTATTACCATCATCACCATATTACCACCATCATATTACTATCAGTCACCATATTACCATGCACCATCATATTATCATCAGTATTACCATCATCACCATCACCATATTACCTTCAAGTATTACCATCAGTATTACCACCATACCAACATATTTCCACCATCATATTACCATCAGTATTACCATCATCATCATCACCATATTACCACCAAGTATTACCATCATCACCATATTACCACCATCATATTACTATCAGTCACCATATTACCATGCACCATCATATTATCATCAGTATTACCATCATCACCATCACCATATTACCTTCAAGTATTACCATCAGTATTACCACCATACCAACATATTTCCACCATCATATTACCATCAGTATTACCATCATCATCATCACCATATTACCACCAAGTATTACCATCATCACCATATTACCACCATCATATTACTATCAGTCACCATATTACCATGCACCATCATATTATCATCAGTATTACCATCATCACCATCACCATATTACCTTCAAGTATTACCATCAGTATTACCACCATACCAACATATTTCCACCATCATATTACCATCAGTATTACAACCATAATCACTATATTTCCACCATCATATTACCATCAGTATGGTGGTAATCCACCATACCAACACATTTCCACCATCATATTACCATCAGTATTACCATTATCACCAACCATCATCACTACCACTATCATCCAAAAATGGATTTGATCAAGAAATTAGCACTTCCCTTGCCAAGAAGGAGAGGGGTGCGCACCTCCCTGGAAATCCATCCCCATCACAACTACCATGACCATAACCATGACAACCGCCATGCACCATCATCAATTACAAATACAATGGATGAAACAGCAAAGTTGCGTAGTTTTACGAACATGCACTGAATAGATAACAAAAAATAACAACTGACCAATAGCAGCAACGGCAACACATCGATCATAAAGATACTTTGTTGCAACTTCTCTCACAGTCTTCGCATCAATCATCTAGAAACAAAAACGAACATGTGATGAACAACAAACGCAAAACATGTGATGAACAACAACCAACTACAGAAAACTGCCTCGTGGCGCTATGTTGCCGTTATGGCTCTACCCTGCGTGCAATCCCACGTAAACACGCGCAAGTTATTACAGATCTGCAAACAAGTTGTGACAAGGTTGTTGTCAATCCGATATCAGGATGTGTTCGCAATGTTTGTCCCCAGTTTTGTATCAACAAGAGTTGTTACAAGTTGATAACAGCTTGTTTCAAACTTGTTGACAACTTGGGACAAGCAGTGCGAACACAACTTGTCGACGGCTTGTTGAAAGAAAAAAGAACAGAAAGTAAATACAACTTACGTCAATTCTTTTATCTAGTTCGGGAAGTGGGATTCGACGACCATAGGTCAACATTTGTCTATTTAAGAAACGGACATGGATAAATTGAGATATAAGCGAGTTTGTTTCTTATCACTCAATATATTTGATCAACTCACCTGCCTATATCTTCGCAAATTGGAGTTGAACCTATCGAAAGAAAAATAGAGTAAGATTGTGGAAAAATGGAAATAATGTCTTGTGGTTGTGATCAGAGATGGAAAATGTTTTTATTTATTTATTATTTTTTAAAGATTCAGTATAAATACATATACTACATGAATAACAATAGCATAATATAAATACACTAGGCCAACAAACAATAAGACACGAGGTACCCTACAAGGTTTGAACACCTTTTTTCTTTCATGGAAGCAGATAGTGCTCAAAATTATCTGCAAAGATTACAATATGCGACTTTTTTGAACTGTCTTTGCCAGTGTATAGGTAGTGCCAATAAAATGAACAAGCTTTCGTTGGTAGGAATGTAACTACCTGATAAGGAGAATTTCGTCGTTTCGACAGAACGATCAGCCTTCGCTCGAAACGTCAAAATTATCCTTATATTGTCAAATGAAGAAATATGTCTTTAAGACTGGTAAGGCATACAAGATAAATCCTGAAGTAGTTACAATCTCACAGGATTGAAAACAAATTATTACTGCAGGCTATATGAATATTGTCGTTCTGAACTGTTCCGCTGTTATTTAGGTATCAAGTTAGTAGATTAATTAGGTATTGAATCATTTCAATAATCAGGCAATTAGTAAATTAGATATTCAGTCAGTGTAAATTTCAGAATTTGGCTATAAAACATCAAAAAAATGTCTGTGAAAATTTCTGCAAAAATGTAGACCCTCAAATTAATTAGGTACTCAGTCATTTCAATAATGAGGTATTTGGCAATTTAGATTCAATCAGTGTAATTTTCAGAATTAGCTATCAAACATCAAAGAAATGTCTGTGAAAATTTCTGAAAAAACGTAGACCCCCAAAACGTTCTGGGTTCCCAGGTTCAGACACTTTTTCCATCTCTTCAGTTCACGGTCTCAAATAAGTATGATATATATACAGGGCTCAAAATAACGGGAGATAGGTCTATAAATGGCCGGTCAACTTGATTTTAGCTCGGTCAAAATCTGTTTTTGACCGGTCATTGATACGTTTGCACTAACAGTGAAACAAACTATTAGAAACTTGTTTCGACACATCATAGTTTCATGTTTTCATTCAAGACGTCAGCAATCACATTGGAAGGCATGAAAATGTGGCCGGTCAAAATGACCGGTGAGGTTAAAAACGTGACCGGTTATAAGAGGCATTTTTGGCCGGTTATTGTCCGTTAACCGGCCGTTATTTTGAGCCCTGATGATATAATAATTCTCCCATAACGTGCGTGTGAAAGATGAAAATGTTCCTCAATCTTCTTGGTAAGACAAATGTTCCTCAAGATCCTTATCCAGAGATCTCACTCTAGAAATCTCAATCCAGGTCTGTATAACTTTAGATAATAAATACATACGAGTATACAACAAGAAATATATGAAACATATCAAAAACATACCATCAAGATGGAATAACATATTTGTTTTCAAAATATTACGAGCTCTTTCAACTTCGGCATCGGTTATACTTGTACAAATTCGCATCCTGTAAAGTAAAGAATGTTGTACATACAGCTAGGGGTTGAGATGACATGGGCGCCAAGCCAAATACGACCAACATTTTTATCTGATGACCAGACAATTGCCAAAGGTAACAGAAAAAAATTAAAATGATAAACTGTAAAGCCTTAAAATATCTCAGTATCTCAAGCATTTTATTCTGCTTTTGCATACAATTTTCCAACATATTAACTTTTTACAATTTCAACCCCCTGTCAGTACATATAAGCGTATTTAATTTAAACCACATGATACAAGCCAAAATTTACATCAAGTACATCAGAACTTACCAATCTTTCTGGATAGCGTAGATAAGATTATCTATAGTCATTCTATCACACACCATGTAGACACCCCTGAAAGAGACAAAATAATCTCTCAATACCACACACGAAAACGTCGCACATCTTGTAGCAGGTCT